TCCCATGAGATTAGTCTGAATGCTTTTTCCTTCATTCATCCACCCACATTTCTCTGACTCCCATATGGGATGTATACAGTAACACTAACCATCAAGAACAAAGCAGAACAAGATGTTTGTCATGGATATCAAGTCTCAAAAGAGACAATTAAATTGATACAAATCATCGCTGCTTCCTGAATCACCATAGACTGCTGTATTTTAGAATGCCAAGGAAATTACTATAAAACGTTACATAAAGCTTTTGTAAATAAATGTATTAAACTCATAGGAGAAGCTTAATGGGTAGGAAAGTGTTTCCTCATTTCGTTATGGGGTTTAGAAAACTTCCAACTCACCTGATGAGCACCTCAAGGAGAGAGGGACTCCAATCTCCCACTGGTCAGTAAACAAGGACTCTCGCCCTTTCCTGGCCCTTGACTCTATGCCCTGAGATTGGCCTCCCACCCTCATCACCACCGTCACCTTCTAATCACCTATTCATCCTCAGCTAGGACAATATTCCCCTACACTGCAGAAAACTTTTAGAAAAAAAAAGAAGTTCTACATAAGGAGCTTTACCTATATTTACATATATACCTACCTATGTCCTTTTATTATAAAACAAGTTTTTCTACTTAATTGGGGGGAGGATGTTAAAATATTCTTTATTTAATAAAATATTAATGTCAAGGATTATAATTCGTAAGGTCCTTACTTGACAAAAGATAAAGTTGTCATTCTTATATCAGTTCTCCCAATTTTTAAAACTGATCCATGAAACCACAAAGGATCTGAGGACTTAGAGTATTGAAGAGTCATTGAATTTGAGAAGAGGAAGTGATGTTTGAGAGTATTTATGGCACACAGAGATCAATGACTTATCCAAGATCACTCAGCTGGTAGAGGCAGTGAATTACAACCCAGATCACTAATTCCTGGGACAGCGAGTCTCTTACTGTTCCAGGCTGCTCGCTCCAGAGCCACTGTGGCAGGTCCTTAAAGAGTGCAGTCAAACCTCATCTGTCATTCCAGTTTTCAGATTAGACCTATGTCTTGTTAATTATCTCTTTATTTTATATCTTTTACAAATTTTCACATGTAGGCAGCCCCACAACACTTTGAAAATTGTGTTGAAATTAACTGTATCTTGCTCTATAATTGTGCTAGCACATGAACTACTTCTGGGAGCCATAGTCATGGGCAGAAGATGAAGAACGGGCAGCATCAGCCAAAAGCAGAGGGAGCCTAGAGAAAACAAGACATCTTCAAAAGCCTGTCCATGTTCTGGCATGGCAGAATAGTGGGCAAAGAGATAAGCTGAGAAAAGAAAGTGGCTTTTCAAGAAGTGCTTGGGAATCCTCATGAGACCCACTATTTCCCAAAGGGTATTCTAAAGCACAATAATCCCGGGTAACACTCAGGAAACACAAAAGGGGACTAGATATCAAATAAGCTTGAAACACAGTTTATATTCACCATAAACACTACAGCTATCCACAAGGAAATCTGCTCAGGCCTTCTGGGGTGCTTCCCTAGTCCACGGCAATTCTAATGTTAACATCCATTTTTAAGTCCTTCAGAATATATAAAGACAACTTTCTAAAGGCTACATAATTGGTATAACTAGATATTTGTAAATGCCATTTGTATTCTTAAACAGCAAACACCTGTGTATACAGTAGTTCCCCCTTATCCACGGTTTTGCTACCTGCAGTCAACCGAGGTCTGAAAATATTAAATTGAAAATTCCAAAATAAGCAATTCATAAGTTTAAATTGTGTGCTGTTCTGAATAGTGTGATGAAATCTCACGTCGACCGCTCAGTCCCACCAAGGACATGAACAATCGCTTGGTCCAGTGTCTCTGCACTGTATATCCTCACAAGAAGAAGGGTGAGTACAGTACGGTAAGATATTTTGAGAGAGAGAGAGACCACATTCACATAACTTTTATCACAGTATATTGTTATAATTGTTCTATTTTATTATTAGTTATTGTTGTTAATCTCTTACTGTGCCTAACGTATAAATTAAACTTTATCATAGGTATGTATGTATACGAAAAAACATAGTATATATAGGCTTCGGGGCTATCCGTGGTTTCAGGCATCCACTAAAGGTCTTGGAACATATTTCCCAAGGATAAGCTGGGACTACTGTATGTAAATTTTTCTCATAAATGACCAAACTACTGATGAACTGCTCCAGGAGCTGCTTGCAAGTACCAAATTAGAATCTCTGGGGTTGTGTCCCAAGCTTTGGGATTTTTGAATAAGCGTCCCAGATGTTTCCTGGATTCACAGATTTGAGGCCCACTGGTCCATTCAATAGTGGCCAGAGGTGAGCATGATTGAGAAATGGCCGGGGCCCATTTGCAGCCGCGAGGCATTCACACCGCTGGGCATGACTGCTTCTCCCTGGTGACCAGAACCTCACACATAGGTCCCTCCCAGCACAAGACACAGAGACCAGCACAGAGAAAGCAGTCGCATCTACACTTACACACTCCTGAATCTACCTTTTCCCTCCATTCCCTGTGGATTTCCTTCTGGGCATCACCGCATTGCACCTGGCATTTTCAAACGGCCTCTGTGATGGCATATACCATTCCCTTGGCCCCAGAGCCCCTTCCCTCCTCATGTACCCACTTTTACCTTTCGTTTCCATGTCTCAGATCAGGCACCACCTCTGCCCTCTCAGAGGTGAGTCTATCATGTTCCTTACTTCGTGGTTCCCCATCATCACCAGTCTGTGCAAAGCCGTTTTTGGCTTATTTCATACTTCTCCTCTTTATTCCTCAGCCATGCCCATTCCCGCACCCACAGCCCCTGCTCAGGCACCCTCTCTGGTGTATTATGGCCTTAAACATATGTGTGTATTCTTGAAAAATATCCAGTATTCTTTCTCATGAATGTATTATTAATGTGCATCAGTGGTACTGTGTATAAATCTAAATCTATTTTGTACCTTTTCACTAATTACTATGTTTTCCAGCTTGTTCCATGGTGCTGTGTGTACCTCCATTTTTTCCTGCTGCTTTACCTGTGTACCTCACATTCACTCACCTGTTCCCTAGGGATGAGTGTCCAGGCTGTGATGAAGCCCCTTTCACGCTCATACACAGACTGCGGACCCCTGTAAACTCTTCTCTGAGTCACGTGAGTTCCCGGGCCTGAGTTTGTCAGACCTGAACTAGATGGAAAAGGAAGAACAGCTAATTAGATATGAAATAGACATTTTAATTAAGATGCACCACAATAGATATAACTTCTAACATCTGAATAATGACTGAAAATCGCTAGACAGCAGGGATCTGTTTGCAATATTATCAAGAGCCTAGGAAGGGAGCTAACAACAGAGTGTGTCTGAAGGCAGAGGCGGAAGAGAAATACAGCTGTTTCCTAATGGTGTTCTACCAAGTTCAGCCTACTCGGTAACCTAATTATAGGCCCAGTGGTCTATATCTATGCACCATGGCTCATATCACATCTTTTATTTATTGCTCTGACTTTATAGCGTATCTTAATATCTGGTAGGAGGTAACATAGACCTCATCCTTTCACATAAAATTTAAAATGAGCTTGTCAAACCCCCTCTCAATCCCCCCAGTATCCTACTAGAATAGTGCTTGGAATGTCACTGAATTTATTGATTAATTTGGTGGTTTTCAATAGAATCTTTCCAATGTTAAGACCTCCTATTCATAAATATTTATCTGGGTTTTATTTTAGATCTGCTAATAAACTTATAGAAATTTTTCCACAAAGAATTGAGTAGATCTTGGTAGGTTAATTCCTAGATGTTCTATAGATATTGATCTCATTTTAAACGATACCTTGTCTTTTGTTATATGCTCTAGTTAGCTATGCCTACATCTCTACCTCTTCCACCCTGTTCTGGACGAGCTGATGGATCTGGGTTCATATTTACTCCTTACAAAACTCCGTGTTAGCAATGATCACATAGTGCAGAACAGGATCGTTGTTTAAGATGTCTACTTACCCAACTGGATTGTGAGCCCTTTGAGGGCAAGAATCGTCTCTTCTTCATTTTTGTATCTTCAGCAACAAGCACAGACATGCTTCTTTTTCAGTGTTTTTTTGAATGTACATAAAAATACATACGGCCATTATGTTAGAGTGATATGACTAGAAATATCTGGAAATGTGGTAAAGAAGGCAACCACGTTGACGGAAGACTCCCGTCGGCTATCAGATTTACCTGCTAGGCAGGCAGTGTTGAGGTAGGCATTATAATCCTTGCTTCTTTCTTCCTTTTTTTCTGTTGGAAGGGTTCTGTCAGGACAGTTCTCTCTATTGCCTGGATCCCTGTCTTAGTAGAATTGGGGAAAGTTAATCAGTCGTTCTGTCTTCCTCTTCCTGACCCTCCATCCCCACACTCTCACTAGATGACAGGTGTTGTGGTTACAGAGACAGAGACTCAAGCATCTTGTTGATGGATAAACAAAAGGCATCTGTTGTAATAGAAATGGCCCACAATTTCTTCTAGTTCTAAGGAATAATGTGAAAAATCACACTTCTATATTCTCTGCTTCTATGACTCCTCTCAATTTAGTCTCTTAGATGTCAAAAGCCAAGTAGAACTATTTCCCTACCAGCAAAGCCAAATCAAGAAGTCAGGGTGATAGAAAGCCATTGGTTAGAAACCCATTTTGCAGATTTTAACTGATCTTGCTCATTATACAGTCATTTGGTCACCTGTTTATCATTACCTCCTACCTCTGTGTATCCTAACTTCAAACTGGATGATGGTCCAGCATGTCATTAATTGGGAATTTATATAGTGAAGGGTGAGGAAGCAAATGAGCAAAGGGAGAGAGGAAAGGGCATAACAGTAGTTGAGGAGATCAAACCTCTGATTTAAGGGCTAGCTTCAAACTCAGGTCTCCTAGGAATACTCCTAGCTGTCATAAATCTTAGGTCACCATCACACCTTAGGATAAACCAGACTGAGACCTTCAGTAAAGAATCTAAAAAACAAAACAAAGAAATAAACCACAACAACAAAACGGTTTTGGGGGATGATCACCAACAGCAAGAATAGAAGGGAACTGCCCCTGTCTACCCACCCCCTCCACCAAAAGGAGCCTCCCATCATTACCTCTCCCTTTGGCCACTGCCTCTGATCCTTCTGTCCCTGGTAGGGAAACATGCAAATAGGAAAGAATTCAGACATCTGGAAATGTTTTAGTTATCACAAGTTTTAGTAACTTTTCAAAGAGAAACATAAAACTGAGTGAAAAGTCAAAGATTTTGCTTCACTAGAGGGGTAAGAACCTTCCATTTATGACCCTGTTCATCTCTCACTTGATGGGATTACCCAGGAAATGTATTGCTATTTTAATTTTAAATTGCTCTAAATACGTGATTGCATAAATGCAATCCAGAGTGAATCTCTGCAGAAAAAATGTCGGGAAGGATGACTATTTTATTGCATTTATTCCATTCTCTTTTCGTTCCTTGGATATGTCATGAAAATCCATCAATCTGTATTATCATTTTGGGAAAACATCCCTGAAAATGCTATTTGAGGTATCCAGCATGCCTTGGGTAATCTGGCTGTCAGATGTTGGCTCAATGATTGAAGATGTATAAAAACAAACCAAGTCCTAATGTCATCCACCAGTCTAATTTTTTTGCTGAAATTACTAAAATAGATAAAGGGGTGTTTACAGTGTATTCTCTTTTTTCATAATTTAATATGTAATTTGGTACAATTTTCTGGGTTTTAAGCTTATTCTTCAAGCCCCAAATATGCCAGCACATTGCCTTGTACACAGAAGCTTCTCATGCACACAGGCTTCTGGGTCTAGCTCTACTACTAACTAGCTGGCTGACTTTGAGCCTCAGGTTTTTTTCCCCAAAAAATAGAGGTAATAAAATAAATAATCATACTTAATTCCTAAGTTTATTGTGAACAGTAAATGAGACAAAACATGAAAAGTAACACACCCAGTGCCTAGAATATGACATGACAATAGTTGTTAGAACTAAAAGAGATTTTCAAGAGCATCTAGTCCAAAGACTATAGTATGTAGTTTTAGGGACAGGGTCCCTAAACGATTCTCGAAGGAGTTTGTGACTCCAAAAACTGAAGAACCATCCATCAATCTTCTTATGGACTTACCTCCATACTCAATTTGTTTGCTAAGTTGGAAACCTGGGCCAGAGAGGGGTCCTCATAAAAACTAGAGGCCGTCTCTCCCAGCGCTATGTCCAATACTCTACTCCATTATTCTAATTGTTTAAAAAAAATAGAGCAATGAGAGAGAATAAAAGGGAGTAAAGAGCATTTAGTGAGTGTCCATGGTAAGTAGCACAAACTAAAGACCCTAGCCTGTTCTCAAGGATCATTTTAACTAATTTCAATAACAGAAATAGAAGAAAACATTAAAAAATATCTAAATAGTAAAAGTCATTGTCCCCTATTGATATTATCTGTAATTAATCCCAGTGAATTCATCATTGGCTCCACAAAAGGGCTGAAGCAAAGTCCCTGCCCCCCCATCCAGGTGGCATGAACACAAGTCAGACAGCAGGAGAATTGCTCTCCCAGAGGCACAGAGGGCAAAGACAAACTAGGAGAGAGTGACATTCATTCCTATTGAAGAGGCGGGCTTTTCTCATGGGCTTGCATGGGAGGGAGAAAGAAACATCTTTCAATGTATCATGTTGGTCCCTGGATCATTTGTGATGACTTCTTTCCAGTGCCATAAGCGTCCAATTTAGGGCAAGACAGAAAAGCTGAGCATAATGTCCTCATCATTTTGTCAGTCCCTCCAAGTGCTCTTTCCCATTAGAACAGAAAACTATTTGTACTGAGGTGAGCTTGCATGTGGTCTCAGCTTCTCCCTTAATTGGTCTTGGGTTTACCCTGCAAAGAAATCTGCACAACATTCACCATTAGGTCTCTTTCTTAGGTCCTAAATTTTTTACAGGTAAAAGGCCTTTGAGAAATGTCCCAGTGTATGTCATGTTATAAGATTACATAATAGGGTTGAGATTATGATCAATACATTTCACCTTTAAAAAGTATAACAACAAATAGCCTTTAAGATTACATTTATGTCTAAAGTAATTATTATAGCAAATATAAGAAAATGCTAAGGAAAGAAACACCATAAGCTAGTGACGCACCCAGTGGCCATTAGCTTGTGTTAATTTCACTTAGTGTGGGCAAGCAGGACCTGTATCCCTTCTCCCAGCAGAGCAGACCTGGCTGCACCTTCAAACAATGTGGCATAAATAAATCCCAAGGGAAGGTGGGAGAGCTAAACAGAGATACCTGTTAATTACTTTCCATCAAATTTAAAACTGCAATGTATGATTATTATGTGAATGCTTTGATAATTTTTGGTTAAGAAAAGTGATTAAATGATTTCCTTGCAGAAATTTTATAGTTTTTCCAACTCAGAACAACAAATTGAAGAGCTGCAGTTCTCTGCAAAGATTTCCCAACAGATCTCTTGGCCTTTTCTGGGATACACATAAGGGGTCTTTCACTGAACTCTAAGAACAAGTGCAGATCTTCCTGTTGCACTGAACGGAGAGCTGGCCAGAAGCTGGAAGCTGGGGTTCCTGGTACCATGCTACTACCCCAACCATGTAATCCTAGACTATGGGTTGCCTCTGCTCAACCTCAGCTCCTCATCTCTATAACCAGGGGTGGACTGCAAAGTTTCTCCCAGTGCTAAAATACTATGATTTACGAGATGTTTCTCTAATAATTAATGTACCACCTCTTTTTATTTTTTTTAAGTTCCATTGACTTGTCTCCAGAGAGTTTTTTTGATATGTGAAAACCAGGTGTGGTAGGCAGAAAAATGGCCCCCGCAAGATGTCCACATCCTAATCCCTGGAACCCGTGAATATGTTACCTTATCTGGCAAAAGAGACTTTGCAGATGTGATTAAGTTAAAGATCTTAGATGAGAGTCTCCTGGATTATCCAGGTGGGCCCAATGTAATCATAAGGGTTCCTGTAGGGAAAGAGGGAGGCAGGAGAGCCTTTCAGAGGAGGGGATGCGATGACAGAAGCAGAGGTCGGTGATGTGATTGCTGGCTGAGGGCCACAAGCGGAGGAATGCAGCAGCCTCTGAAAGCTGGAAAACCAGGGAATTCACTTACATATTCTCTTGATTTTTTTTTTTTGTTTGTTTTTACTTGATATTTAAAATCTTTTCTTAACATTTTTTGGTAAAATCAGCATCCTCAGGAAGGAAAATATGCCTCTCATGCACTAACCAAAGTATTGTGTGTGTGTATGTACATGTGTGCATGCATGTGTGCGTGTGTGATGACAACCTTGGGAAATCAATTTTCTTACCTCATCTGTAAAATGAGAATACTACTTTAGGTTTAGCTCAGAACATGACAAATTAATTGCTCAAACTATAGTCATTGTGAATAACGATAAGGATGTGGGTGAACACGATGATGTAGGAGGTGAGGAAGTCAGTCACAACATTGGAGGAAATTGAGAAACCCCTCACTCTCCTCCCTCATCTTTCTACCTTGAACAAAATGACCTTTGAGTCTTCTCCCAAAGAGAACCCAACTGTGACTGTGGGGAACGTTCTGGCATCCACCAGGGCATGTCAATTCTCTCAAAGGACTAGGCAGCCTTCTGTTGTTTCTCCTGGCTCCTATTTAAAGACAATATCCTCAGGGTGATTGCATGTGCTCCTTCATCTTTACCTCTGTGAAGAAAGACCTAGGTCTGGAATGCTCTTAAAAGGAAGAAAGAAAAAAAGAGAACCTCAGGCTTTTGAGTAATGATATTATGTGAGTCCCCTGTTCTGTCCCCCATGATGCCAGGCAAGACCAGAGTAATCATTAAAACATTTTATAATGAAAACATGTCCCTTGTTAAAAGGACTGAAAGTGATCTAAGTAATTTTGTCTGCCCTAACACTTGGTAAAAAGTAAATGAGCTTTGCATACACTGAAGATGTGTATTGTGGTTTCACTCTCCATTTCAAGAGTGTTAAGGACCCATCTACTGGGAATAGAACTGTGCCAGCCGTCAGCGGGTTTGCAAAGAACAGATCTGCGCCCAACACGCGCCTTCCAATATGGCTGATGCTCACGTGACTATCCTGAGTGCGTGTATTCAGCAAAGCGGCGATGGTGTTCGCGTTTTTCTTTACAACCGTTGTTGCAGAAAGCATGCTATAAACTGAGACCAGCTATAAAATAGAAGAAGTAATAAAAACAATTGTAAAACACATTGCAAACATGAAGTGCCATGCAAATACTTTAAGTAATAAGTACCCCCTGGCCAGTCTACAGCATGGTTTGTAAATCCATTGGTAAGACACAGCTGCCAGGCAAGGTTACAGAATGCAGGTAACAGACAGAACTGGGTTCAAATCCTGGCTCTTCCTGACTCTGATTAGACATTTAACCTTGAATACATTGCTTTACTTCTCTGAGCTTCAATTTTCTCATGTGTAAAACGGAGCTAAACAATATCCTTCATGTAGGGTTTCTCTGAATCTCAAAACACTAGTTATCTGCTAGGTACTTGGCACAAAGTCTGGCAAATTGCAAGTGCTCTAAAATTTACATTTCAGGGCAGAAGGCTCCCCTATCACAAGACTAGATGACAAAAATTATTCTCCAAGAACTCTTGAGAAGGAAATTTAAGGACAAAAAAAGTCAAAGAAAAAGCAGAAAGAATGGGGAAAATAAAATAAGAATAAAGATCATGATCATACTTCAACACAAAGGGGTGCGATTAATTTCACCCTGAGGCACATTTAAGCTGGAAAATCGACTTTCTTTTCCTGTGACTGGGTTCTAAGATGCACTCTCTGGCCACTATCCCAAATGCATTTTCTTTCTTTTTGCTTCAAAATTTTTCTTAAAAAGTACTAAAATTCTTTGAAGTACCCCATTCCTACCCAACCCATTCTCCTCCCACCTCAGAGAAAGCTACCATCCTGAAGTTGGCATGTACCTTTCTTCTCTACGGTCTTACAATTTCACTCCACAGTCTGTGTTCATACATAATACATAACACTATGCAATTTTTTAAAAACTTTATATAAACAGTATACTGTGAGCAGCCTATCATAACTTTTTGTTCATGTAACCTATTTTCAAGATTGATTCAAGTTGGTATATGTAGATTTACTTTTTCATTTTAAATGTTATAGATCAGCTTTTTTAACACATCATGATTTATTTTTCTCCTGCCTCTATGGGTGAATTAGTTGTTTCTGATTTTTCCTGTTATATATGCTATAGAAGATTGTCCTTGGATGCGCCCTTTTTGCATATGTGCAGGAACTCGGGAAGCGGAATTGCTGAGTAGTATGATTTCCACGTATGTAACTTTACCAGATAATGTCAAATGCCAATCTGAAAGATTAAAGCAACTCAGCCTTCCACTAGCAACGTCCTCACGTCCTCATCCACACTTGGTAATGCCAGACTTTTAGATGTTTGCCAGTCAGTTGGGTGAGAATTGATATACCAGTACTGTTTCGCTTTGCAGGTATCTGAGTGTAAGTGATGTTAAGCATCATTTCATATGTTTGGGGACATTTGGGTTTCCTCGTCTGTAAAGTGCTTGCTCATATACTTTGTTAATTTTTCTTATCTTTAAATAATCTGGAGACCAACCATAAAGGACTTCTCTTGTTTGTGTCATTTATTTTAACTTTGCTCATGGTGTCTTTTTTTTCTAATACACTTGTTTTCTATTTTTTTAGTCAAATTTATTAATATTTCTGCTATGGTTTGTGTGTTTTATTTATTGTTTCAGAAATATTTACGAACCAGATTTAATAAATATATTCTTCTGCTTCTTTTTTCTAAAATTTTGAAGTCTTTAGTCTTAGTTGAATCTTTAAACCATTGGAATTCATTCTAGTATATGATCTGAGGTAGGGATCGAATTTACTTTTTTCTATATGGATTGCTAATTTTCCCAGTATCATTTACTGAATCTTTTATTCTTCCCACAGTGATTTGTGATGTTACTGCTCTCAGAGAACAAGTTTCTATGTATAAGGAGGCTTATTTTCTGGCTTTCTATTCTTTCTATTTGTCTGTTGTCTATTCCTACATCAGCTTTATAAAAATTTGATTTCTGCATGGTGAATCCTCTATTATTATTATTATTTATTTTTTTATTACCTTGGCTATTCTTGGGTACATTCAATACAAATTTGAGATTGAGCTAGTCAAATCTATTTTCAAGTTCTATCAGGACTTTGATTATGATTGATGACTATGATTAAAATTGAGTCTATTATCTGTTAGAGACAAATTTATGATATTGAGTGTTCCAATCCATGAATATGGTATATTACTCAATTTAGCTTCTTCTGTTAGTTTCAAAACAAAGCTTATATATATATTTTTTTCCTTATGATCTTACACAGCTTTTGTTAGTATTCCTTAGTATTGTTAATGTTTAGTCAGATATCGCTACATACGTTATACATTTTGTGACTGCAAAATGCAACTTTTATAAATTACTATTTCTAATTGGTTATTACTGGTATCTGTGAAAGTTATTGATTTTTGTATACTTAATATTATACTCCAAAAAGCTTACTGAAGTCTTATTATTTTTAATAGTATATTTATAGATTTAAAAAAACATATCTGGCATTCCAAACAACTTTCTTAATTAAGTAATTTATGATGCAGTTATAGATTGCAGAATGCAGAGAGAGCCAGAGGACAGGAAAGGGCTTGGAGCATAACAGTTAGACAGGTCTGGGTTCAAATTCCAGCTAGTCCTGCCTCTGAATGGCCACGTATCTTTGAATGCGTTGCTTAACTTCTCCGAGCCTCAGTTTTCTTATGTGTAAAATGGGGCTAAACTATATCTATCTTATAGGGTTTCCCCGAATCTTAAATTAACTAGTAATAGTAATTAATGTTAACATTAATAGCACCAAAAATGCAAATTCTGTGTCAAGCCCTCTGCCAAATACTTAGCATAGAGGCAGGCAAATTGAAAGTGCCTAATATCTTCTTCTCTCTCTCTCTTTTGCAGGTGCATGCCCCCCCCGCCCCCCCCCCACATACACACACATTCCATTGGTGCTGGGAAAATGTGCTAGAGGAAAACATACAAATATCAAATGTCACTTCCCAGGGTTTGGTGGGAAGCGAGGGCTGCTGGGAAGGTTAATACTCAGAAAATTATTCACACTCAGGATCTCTAATCCTACCTTAATTTTGTCTGGCTCCACTTATAGTGTGGGATCTCTGAAAATCCCAGGAAACACTCACCAAATCCTTAACCCATCACCAACCCCAGCTTACCAAGAGCAGTGTCTTGAGACCCTCTTTTGACTTTGGAAGAGCTGTTCAACCATCATGCCCAATGTGAGCACAACTGACCTTCACCTCACCATGGAAACTCTCTGGATAGAAGATGAAAACAATTCAGTGGAACTAAGAGGAGTCCCAGCATTGACCCAAGCAGCTTTCAATTCAACTGTGGAGGAAACCCACACTTCAATATTCATTACTGGTGAGTGAGGAGTTAGGAAGGGAGATAGAGAAGAGGTTGAAAAGGGAAAACATTTCTTAATTTCAAAAAGGATGTCGAAAATCTAATATTGGAAAACAATAAATAGTCAACAAAAATGCCAATAGGGTATTTATAGTATATTTACAATCATAATGACCATGCAGAAAGTAAAACTGACCAACTATGACCTCCCTCTGGGTGAATGTTTCAGTAGGGTGGTGAACATTTGTCATTTTTCTCTCCAGTATCCGTCCTCTAGCAGGCAACAGCCCCAGGTCTTGGTTTGGAGAATCCTCCTCCTTACTCTGCCCATGTTACCTGGGGAAGCCTTTAGTCTGGGTTGAAAGGTAGAACTCATAACTGGGATTACCTGGGCCACAGAGGCTGTTAGGATGGGCACATGGCTAGTTTGACCCCTTCAGAGCAAGTCTCTGAATTTTTATGGAAACACCCAGAGGACTCTCTCTCTTCCTTAGCTCAGAGTTGTGAGAATGTGAGCTGAGGCCTGCTGCAACCCTATGCTACTGTATTAGTTTCCTGTGGCTGCTTTAACAAATTACCACAAACTTTGTGACTTAAAACAACAGAAATCTATTCTCTCACCGTTCTGGAGACAAGAAATCTGAAATCAAGGTGTCAGCAGGACCACGCTCCCTCCAGAGGCTCTAGGGAAGAATCCGTTCTTGCTTCTTCTTGGCTGGCTATACCAGACCAATCTCTGCTTCCATCTTCACATAGCCCTCTCCTCTTTTGTCTGTGTCTTCTTTTCTTCTGTCTCTTATAAGAAAACTTGTCATTGGATTTAGGGCCCACCTGGGTAATCCAGGATGATTTCATCTCAAGATCCTTAATTATATTTGCAAAGAATCCTTTTCCAAATAAGGTACCATTCACAAGTTCCAGAGATTTGGATATGACATAACTTTTTGGGTGCCACCATTCAACCCACTACTGCCACCACAAAGGGAGTCTGTTCTGAGAATGCAGCCAACTGAGAGGAAGCAGGACCAAGAGATAGAAATCTTGGGGCTGGTCATTCACAGGAGGACCTGCATCAAGCTGTGGCTGAAATTAATCCTACCCCTGTTGTATGAGCCATGGATTTTATTATTTTTTCCTTAAGCTAATTCCAGTTGATTTTTTTGCTATTTACATCCCAAAAAGTCCTCACAAACACAGCAGAGAGAAAAGAGTATTTTCTATCAGGAGACCCGTCCTTGCTCTTTTGAACAGAAGGGATATCTGCAGGATTCTATGCAACTAAGGAGAGTCAGCAAGTTTCCCTTTGGGGACACACTCTGAAGGTGCTCCCTCTTTCTCTTGCACTGCAGGCTGTGTGGATGTGCACACCCCAAGAACAAGCTCTTCGCTCTCCTACTGCTTTGGGGCTGACCTGGGGCAGGATGCATAGTTACAGTTGGGTATTGAGAAAAAGAGATGTTCTGATCTCAAGAAGGCAATGTGGGATGGTAAGAAGCCAAAGGTTTTGGGGTCCAACAAACCTGAATTAGAAGCCAGCTCTGCTGTGTGACTGTGTGGCAAAGTATGTTTGAACCTCAGATTCCAGAAGTATACGATGAAGACCCTCTTAACGGCATCCCACAGAGATCGTGAGGATGAGCTGAAGAATGCAAGTATAAGAGAAGAGAGGACAGCCCATGTATCCTCCATGCCTCGTGACTGCTGACCAAGTGTCCTCGAGGGAGAAGGAGTGGAGGCAAAGATGGAGGTGTAAGTGCTGAGTGGGAACTAATGTTTCCTGAGTGCTCCAAGGTGCCAGATGTGTGGTTATCTCTCTAATTCTCTAAAGTAGGAGGTAATCTCTGCACTGCACAGATGAGAAACCTGAAGCTCTAAGTGTTATGTAACACCCCTGTTCACACAGGTAGTAAGTGGCTGAGCTGGATTTTGAACTCAGGTTGGTCTGACTTCAAAGTCCACACTGTTTACATTACTCCACCCTCTCTCATGATATCTAAGGAGACAGTGAGGGCAGAGAACTACTAACACCAAGCAGAGAAACAAAAGTAACACTTACATAAGCGTACTATGAGCCAGGAGCTCAGCTAAATGCAGTTTTTAAATTGCCTTTGAATATCTATAAAAATAGTTCATGTTTATTGAATGCATGCTGTATGTCAGGCTGTGTTGTAAGAACTTTATATGCAAGATTGTATTTCAACCTCACAATAGCCCTTTGAAAAATGTATAGTTGTTGTTACTGCTGTTGTTATTATTATTACTTCCGTGTCAGAGATAAAGAAAGGGTGGCCCAGGGAGGTTGAATAACTTGAGGAAGCTAGTAAGGAGCAGGATTTGGACCCAGGCAGTGGGCTCCAGAGCTGTGCTCTGTAGGTGCAGGACGCTGTGTCAGGGCTTGTTGGAGCCCACACATCATGGGTATGTCCAACCTACGAGCTTGCACTGGCTGGGCATTAGAAAGGCCATCCCATCCTTCCCCAGCCTGCCCCACGTGGCACCCCCACCCCGCATTCAGCCCTGCCAAGGAGCTCTGCACAGGCACCTCCACCCTCAGCTGGCCAGGCCGTCCACACACGCCCCCTGATGGTGGAGGCGCAGACCCTCTCCCTCTCCTCTGTGTTTGTGGAGTGGGGTTGGAAGTCTTTACCCACAAAGAGTTAAGGATGGAAGAGAGGAGGTAAAAGAGCCTCATTTGCTAAGGGCTGGGGAATTGTTGCTGTTCTTGTTCTAACACTGGAAGGTACAAAATGTTCAGCCGGTAAGTCCATTTCGAAACGCAGGGGTCCCATGTGACTTTGAGAAGAAAGACTGTTTAACACTTTTGAAGTATCAAGGTTCGTGGTTCCAGACCTGAACCACACTATATGTCTTTTCAATGTTATTCAGGAAATATGATTAGAGAAATCTTTGGCACAATAAATTAGACTTGCTTTTACCATTACTTTTATTATGGATTTCTACATCATAATCATAGTTTTGATATTAGGACAAACCATGCATGGGGTAAAATGTTGTCCCAGTGTGAAGGCTGATTTTGTTTATTTTTCCTGCTGAGGCCAGGCCTTATCTGTACCTACCTCATCTCACACCCTGGTCATCATGCAGCAATGATGACTGAAAATCAGGGGGAACATTAGAGACAGGGCCCGTCCCACATGGCCCCAGCACCCATATGTCACATGGTTTGCTGGAGGGTGGGGGTTTGCACTATGGCTTCTGACAGGCAGCTCTCATTTGTCTGCTTTAAACTCTGTATTTGATGCTATTGGATTTTTTAAAAGTCACACTCTATAGCGATCCTTTTTTGGAGAGTCCTAGAAAAACTCTCTAAACAACCTCATTTCACTTATTTTGCATTAAGCAAAAGTACAATGTACTTTTGTCATTATAACAAAATGGATATTAATAATGCCTTGTAGGATCAGAATGTGATTTAAACTGATGAAAGAGTTGAGATTTTAAGCTTGATGGGACCATTTTCTATCTTGTGTAAATAAAGTATAATTTTCTAAAATAACATTAATAAATAAGAATTTCTAAATATCATCAAACTCTATTACTTTCAATGTGTAAATGAAGATGACAATTTTTGGAAGCCATGTAAGTATTTTGGTCAACATGGAATACATGTGGGAAATAATTGCTTAACAACCAAAGAATTTGTGTAGTGTATGTTGAGAAACACACATATTAGAGATAGTCTGAATGAAACTAATGGTTTCAGTTCTTAAAATGAGTAGGAGTTGGGAGTGATGGTTCAAAGTCTGTTTGTAAATTGGCCCAACGGAGGCTTCCTGTAGGACTGGGGAGAGCTGGGGGCAAGCGCTGTGAATTCATTACGTGACGCTGGGCAAGTCACTTCACCTCTCCAACCTCAAGGCCCTGAGAGTCAGCATCACTCGAGAGAACCACTGAGGTCAACTTCCAGGAGCTAAATTGATTCTCCATTAGTAGCTGCGATTCCTCAGAATGTCTTGATTCTAATCAATAGTAACCCACAGGCAGATGTGAAAGAGAGGAAGTCATTTCTCGATTTCTGCCCCCATTCTATCACAGCTGTGGACTTGATACCATCCTTTCATTCAGAACTGCCATTTTATGAATTTAAGCTGGGAATCCTCTTTTGTGGGGAGAGGTATTCATCATCTTTCTTTCCCTGTAGGACAGTGTTCAGTGTTTTGCTCCATAAATATTAAGATTGATGAAGGTTATCACTTGGTGATAAATCTTATCTGCAAAACAGCTGCTCCCTTACAAAATGGCTCAGTCTCCTCATGAATATCTACACTTCCCATGGCTCCCCTCAAGCCCCAGGGCATCACATTGCTGCCTCTTGTAAGCCCTAACAGACCACCATCTCTCATTTAAAATGGTTTCTTTTAAATTTCCAGTTTAGTCTTACCTTATAGTCCCTTTTACATTTATTTTAAGGGTGAGCCAGAGCTTCACGATAGGTCACTGAAAACCTCTTCTGGGTCTTCTTAGAGGGAAAGGTTTCTAGAATGGGAAGGGAGAAGTATGATGGAAGAACCCGCAGGCATTGGCATCATATATTTAAAGACCAGTTTGGAAAACAAGGGTTAAGGTGATGAATATAGCTTGTCACCGAGAGGTCAAGAAACACAAATGGTGTCCAAAAGTGATGGCAGGGCCGGCCCCATGGCTTAGCGGTTGGGTGGCGCGCTCGGCTACTGGCGGCCTGGGATCGGATCCCGGGCACGCACCGATGTACCGCTTCTCCGGCCATGCTGAAGCCGCGTCCCACATGCAGCAACTAGAAGAGTGTGCAGCTATGACATACAACTATCTACTGGGGCTTTGGGGAAAAAAAAAAGGAGGAGGATTGGCAATAGATGTTAGCTCAGAGCCAGTCTTCCTCAGCAAAAAGAGGAGGATTAGCATGGATGTTAGCTCAGGGCTGATCTTCCTCACAAAAAAAAAAAAAAAAGTGATGGCAGAAGAAATATATGCAGAAGATTTGATACCAGCTCGATACAAGGTTGACATAAGGGAAGCCATATTGTAGAAAAGAAACCATATTGTAACTTTGAGTGACCTCTGATTAACTGACATGCTCTGTGGATTTATGGTCCCTCCCAGCTGCAATAAGTTGATAACTTTGTTCTTTTGAATTCCTTAGGAATGTGATGACCCCCAGCCAGAGAGTCTATGCTCATAGCCATCATGAAGGACAACTAAAAGATCAGGGTATAGGACGTTACCCCGGTCTCTGATGCATATCCAATAAAACAAAAGACTATCAGGAACTAAGACAAGATGTCTGCCTTCACCTGGAGATCAGATGGATGCCCCACCCTGAGACTCAGAGACCAGCCCCCTATATAACTGGCCTGTAGTCTTTGTTCTATAAGATGGTTCTTTCAGACATTAGTTGGCCATTTTCCCTCCTGCTAGCAAGCTGTAATATATAGTCCTTTCTCTGCTACCTCCTTGTCTCTTGACTTTTGTCATGTATTGCAGTGGCCAGACAAATCCTCCTTGGGAGGTAACAGATTGATCAAGTCAGGTAGTCACAAACAGGGGAAGAACTGGGAGCAAATCCACACAGCAACACTTTTGGGCCAGCATAGTATTATTTTAAATCAAATTCGGATCTTTAGTTAAAAAGGTGGAATGTTTCTGGTGAGGGCACGTATTTTTTTATCTCAACCAAAAGTCTTACTATTCCCTATTGTCTTGTATCTGCCTAACGCACCTATTTAAATTTCCCACCTGGCCCCACTAGGATTTGCATTTGCAGATCCTCTGACTAATTCCTGAAATTAGATAAGAAAATGACCTTACAAAGTGATTCCATATATACTCTTATTTTCAGCCACAGAATATTTGTCAGATGAAAAGGAAGAGAAATGGCTACATGAAGAACTAGTTTCATGAATTGCGGCAGGAATTCCAGGCTATCTTTCCAGGCTATGGCTCCAAATTCATAGAAAGCTCTGGAAACACAGCACAGAATAATGTTGAACTGTGTGGATCTGTTGATCTACAGGCCTGGAGGTTAAGGACTTGTGAAACAGCCTCAGTGACCCAGTTTGTCCCAGGGAGAAGTGGTCAGAGGGGCTGCAAGGCTGTCTGAAATGTTCTCTCCCTGGAGAAGCAGTAGCAGAGGCCAAGGGATGATGCTGATCCTCCACGGGGTTCCTCCAGTAACTCTCAGGGTGGGAAGAGGCTACAAAGCGTTGCTTGATCTGGCACATGGCGTCATGTCATCACTGCAGGTTGTGCTTACCAGGACCATTACAGGCTCTGCATTGAAATACTAGCCTGTGCATGAGGCCTGACTGGCTGGGTTTGTGCTGCCCTGGATCCTGGCTCTTTTCTTGAAAAATTATTTGCAAGTTCACCTAGTTGCATGGCATCACAAGTTAGAAAGACATGCTAGGAATAACTGTGGGAGTCATTGCAGGCAACACCAGCAGACACAACCCAGGTCTTTTTTGCCCAGCCACCCCACCTGACGTTTTGATTTTCTTATCTATAATAATTCATGGTGGTTGGTTTCTCTAAGTCAGAATACACCCTGAAACACACCAATGGAAAGAGCAGGGGCCAACACCCAGGGTAGAGATGACATCCATGCTCCATGCCACACCAAGTACTCCATTGTCTGGCTCCCTACCTACCCTCTCCACCTCTTCTCTTACCACTCTCTGCTTTATATTTTAGGTTCCAGTCACACCACGATGCAAGAGGTCCCCACGTAAGCCACGCTACTCCTTGACCCCTGACCCTTGCTCACGCTGTCTGCTTGGAACACTTGGCTTGTCTCCTCCTTAACTCTTACTAATCCTGTAGGACCAACCACAGGTTTCACCTCTTCCAGGAAGGCTTCCTGATCTTCCCCATCTACAGCTGAGTTACATACTCCTCATCTCTGCCCTTCACTACCCTGTGCCAATTTCTATCACTCCTATTTATCATATTACGTTGTAGTTACCAGTTTGTATCTATCTTTCTCAAAATTATGACCTCATTTAGGACAGGGGTTGTGTCTTTTTCATCTGTGGACTGCAGTGCCTAACACAAGGTACATGGTTAGTGTTGAATCAGTGATTGCAGAGGGAGTGAGTGAAGAGGGGATGTGAGAACCAACAAGGAGCCATCATCTGCGATGTGCACAACACTGTGTCAGATGTGTTATGTCATTCAGTCTTCACAAAAATATGCAAAGTGGGCATGATTATCCAAACTCGTCAAATGAGGAAGATGAGGCTCATAGCGCAGAAATACCTTTCTTTAGGCCCCATAATTAGTAAGTGACAGCAGCATTTTTTGAATCAAAGCCCCCAGGACTCAGAAATCTGTGCTCTCTTCATGACACCATCACCTGCTCCCCGATAGCCATGATCTGAAGTGCCTAGGCTGGGGGTGTCGTGGTCGAGTGGCAGTGGCCAGCGTTTAGGCTGACCCAGGACATAACAAGACTCTTTTTGAATAGGACCTTTCGACTAGCCACTTCTGACCACTGCATGGACAGAGTGGCGAGAATTAGTGCCTCCAATAGCCAGTCTCCTTGGAAGAGCTGCCCAGGAGTCAGCTTCTCCTCGTCACCTCTGTATGACCTCAGGGTTATTGCCTCAAAATTTTTTATAACTTTACTTCCTACAGATAGCATTTAGCTTTTATAAAACCCACCCAATTCGTTATCTGCTCACATTTCTCCAGATGTTTTACCTCCCACTCCTGTCTTTCTTAATGACTCTAGGGGGTTGATTACCAGCAGGGTTAAAGCTGTCAAATTATTCTTGGCTCTATTCTGCTTCTTTTTTTTTTAATCTATCTCCAAAATTTAATTCAAAATCTTCACCAATGGATCAATAATCTTTTTTTTTTCTAATTTTAGTCGAATTACAGTATTAGAACTATACAATGGAGAATAGTTTCATTTTCCTATGATTCTACTCATCCTGAAGATCTTGCTGTTGACTTTGCTTCTGGGCTCACTCCCCTCCTCCTTGGTGCTCACACCGCAGCAGAGAGCTGGAAGGGCAAGAGGAGACTGAACTTACCGGGAAAAGGTCTTCATATGCCAGTCTCGGCTTCCTTTGTCTGGGCTTCTCTGGCAGGGGAGGGAAAAAGATATCACTGGGTACTAAAGAAATCAGCAAATTTATACCTGTTGATCTTCAGAGAGTAAAGAGTGAAGGCAAGTATGTTTATTCATGCAATAGATTTAATGGGGCTGGCAGATTCTCTTTGTTCTTGATGCCACAGTCGAGCCACAGAACTACACAGAAACGTGACAAGTAAAACGAAACTTGAGGCTCACAGAGTCATCACAAGAACTCCACCAAACTGGAATCCCAGAGGCTGGCTGCTCATCCCCAGCTGGGGCCTACCCACAACCCTGCAGCTGAGAACAAGACTAGATAGTTCTGGGATGAATCCTGATTTTAATTTCAAGATTCACTTTTACTAACACAACACTGACATGGGAACCAGAAGATCCTGCTTTCTCTCAACTTGGATTTTTATTGTCTCCAAGGTTCTGGATCTTTTTTAGAGGGGGTAGTTTCTTGATTTGGAGTAGCAGTAAAGGACACTGAAGCAAATCTTGTCTCTGAGGCCTCAGGAAAGGGCTCTGGTTGTTCCCTTGTCACATACTAATGGGAACTTGCAACTCCCTCCTCCATTCAGGGACCCAGAGCCTTGGAATAACCTCTATGACACCCCACAGCACAGCATTATTTAAAATATTTAAAATAGCAATAATTAAATATTTATATTGCACTTAACATTTTACAAAGCACATTTTCAATTAATATTTCTTTTGTGAGATTGGAAAAACTCTGCAGTGAGCCAGAGCTAGGGTTGCAACATATGATGAAGCTATATATTATGTTTCCTTTTGAATATCATTATACATTTTCATAGACATAAAGTTAGAGACCATCATATACCAACTGTGTATTCACAGAACAAGAAATAGTTTTGGGAAATGTTAAGTAAAGTTTTTGTTTTTTTTTAACAACTTGTGACTTCATCTCAAGTGATTTTTGCCATCCACACTCTACTCTAAGGCTGAAATTATCCAAACGATATCAATTTTTTTATTTTTAACCTACAGTAAACAATCATTAATGCTTTTTATACATGATAGCTGCTTACACACACACACACACACACACACACACACACACACACTGCAATAGTATACTTCTTGTGAGTAGTTTTCCAAGAATAAAATTTTCCTATCTTTTTGGTAAAGGAGATGGAGTGAATACACACACACATTAGATAAGATTTAAAAATAAAAATTTGTTTCACAACAAAGGATTATAATGCAAACTTTCTCAGAACTAATTCACTGTATATAAGACAGCTTTAGGCTTGTTTTAAAATATACTACAGTGCTTTGGCAGGCCAGCCGTGTTTGTCAAAAAGGTATTTTTTTATGTCAACAGTGCCTCATAGGCTGATAGGTTTTTTATACATTAATTTTTTAATCCAAATATTCAAATCCAAATATTGAATATACTTAATTGGATTTGACTGTATCTGTTTATTTGGCCAGAATGTTATCAGAGTAGATGGAACCAGATAAAACTGTTAATGTAAGACCACAACTTGTCATATCTGATCACTCCTTTTAGTCTGTGTATAATAACCTGGAGCACATACACATTTCTCATTTAGTTAAGTTACACATTTCTTCAATACCCTTACTCAAATGTTATCTTTACATTTTCAATGGAAATATTAAAAATCATGTATGTATTATTTAGTTAGGGCTGCCATAACAAATTACCACCGACTGGGTGGTTTAAGCAACAGAAATTTATTTTCTCACAGTTCTGGAGGCTAGAAGTCCAGGATCAAGGTGTCGGCAGGTTTATTCTGAGGCCTCGCTCCTCAGCTTGTAGATGGCTGTCTTCTGTTTCCTCACGTGGTCGTCCCTCCGTATATATATGTGTCCAAATTTCCTCTTCTTATAAGGATACCAGTCATAGTGGATTAGGGCCCCTCTAATGACCTCGTTTTACCTTAAATACCTCTTTAAAGATCCTATCTCCAAGTACATTCACCAT